CGTCTGCAGACACGTTTTATTATCAGACAAATGACACTTTAATATGCGGGGCACAGCTGAGTCACGGTTAGAATTAGACGTGTTAACAGCAAAGACTGGAAACAACAGCAGGAGAGCAGAAACGTTCGATCTGAGTGGAAGAGTGGAACATTGCACAATCTGATGCTGAGTAAAAAAATGACCTGAGAAGAGTCGAGTCCTGAAGTCACATTTTTTACCACATGATCTACAAATGCCCTCCAGGTTGGATGACTACTTACACATTTCTGTTTTCCTGATGTCCTGCACATTAATAATCATGTGAGCATTTATTGTTTATGGTTCGAATTTTTCCTGAAGACATTTTTCCTGATTCATTTGATTTTTAACCTTCCTTTATAGCTATTAATCTAAAGTTTCACCTTAATTTAAAAATTAAGTGTCAAATCTCACCTTGTTTGGTGATATCGTGACTCTTTTTCCATCCTCTGAATAGTGTGTCTCAGTGTAGCCTTTCCCAATAAGATTCCTGTTACGGTAAGTAGCAATAAAACAATATAAGCTTTTCAACTTAATACAAATATGTGAACAGGAATGTAAAATGTACCTGTTTTTCTCCAGGTGAATGGTGTGGTTTCTCCCTTCGATGAGCAGCTCATATTGAAGCGAGTCGGGATAAAGCTGCAAACGGTCAAATAAAACTTCATTTTGTTGAGAAAAAGACTAAACTAAGTCGATATTTGTCGGGTGGTGACATTTTGCATCGGTGGAGATTTATTTAGGCAAAGCAGACTGAATGAATCCTGTTCAAACGTTTAAAAAAAATACTCTTTTAAAGGGTCCCACTTGTAGAGTTTACCATTGTTGAGACAGAACTTTGATATTCATATAGACTAATTCTGAGTAATGTAGATGGGAGCAGGGGCTCTGACCGCTGGGGAAAGAGCCCCCCCCCCCCCTGACGGTGTCACAACAGGTGACAGATGCTCACCTGGTGGTCCTGCAGACTCCGTGCTCGTCTCTCGTGGCGTCTCTGAGGCCGCACAACCTCGTAGCGCCGCACGTGGGACAGCAGCCCTGAGCTGAGAGCCAAACAAACTGCACACAACAAACCAACAAACAAAATGTACATCTATTTTTGTTCTCAGTTTAATGATCATTAGAGGAAGCTGTGTGTGTAAGTGTGAGCACAAGTCTAATTTTAGCAGATTATGATGTATTGTTAGATGGTTATGACTCAGACATCAAAACAGCATTTTATGAGGAGTTGAACTGCGTTATACCATATAAACTCTTTTTATATTGCCTATATTGTCTCTATATTGTCTCTTGTACTATTCGTAAGCTACTGGAACCAGAATATCCCTGAAGGAGTAATCTCAAGAGATAAATAAAGTTGAGTCTAAGTCTAAGTCTAAGTTAGAGATCCCTTTTAGCTGTTTTATTTGAGAGATTTGTTGCTTTAAAACTGAAAAATTCTTCAACACAGAGTACTGAGCAAAGACTTGCATCACCTCCTATTTTGCAGCAATGAACGGTCCACAGGAAATGTATGCAGCAATCTAATGAAACTTGGGCAAATATAAAGGAAGGGATGGTATATTGAGCAAAAAACAGATACTGTAGTTTAAATTCTGAGGAGGTCTGAAGTCTATCGTCTCAGCTAAGGAAAAGTTCTCCAGGCTTCTTGAAGGACATCCCAAAGCTCCTATTTGGATGTTGGCTGCATTTTGCTCGTAGTTTCTGGCTCAACCTTTTTGTTCCCAGATTCTCTAGCAGGGCGGCACAATGCGTGTGGATTTTATATATTCTCCCCATGCATGCGTGGTACTCTGACTTCCTCCCACAGCCCGGAAATACGCACGCTAGGTTAATCAGTGACCTTAAATTGACTGTTAGGGTGCATGACTGTGTCTCGGACATCTGTTTGTGGTCCTGTGGTGGACTGGTGACCCCAGCAGATGACCCTAACCGGGGAAAGAGCCGTCACCTGCTGATGGAAAAGGCTGCGTCTGACTGCTGGATACAAGTCAAAATGTCCTTGGGCTGAAAACCAAGCCTCCTAAAAATGCATCTGTAGTCCTGGAAATACAAATGTAAATGTTTCCCTTCTTAAACGCCACAGCAGATGGACGCCAGATCCTCTTAATCTGCTGTAGATAGCTTTTTTAGGCCTAACATTTTTTTTTTCTCCAAATACTGTTTTCTGTAAGTAAAAACTGTGCCATATTTTACATTTAAGTTGATAAGGCAATGCCAAAAAACATGAATAATAAATACAAACGAGATGTCCTTGTGACAGGCTGCTATTAACATAGTGACTGTATAATCCTACACAAATAGTTAGATACATGAGTGATAAAGCAGCCAAAATGTAATCAAAAACTTGAAAGACCTTCAGAAATCCCAGAACTATTGCTCAAGATCACTTGGAGAGATTACCCAGAAATGTGTCCACTTCCAACGAAATAACAAAAAATGAAGGGTGGAGGATTTTGGCAAAGTACTCTAAAGTACTAAACTAACATTTTCCCCTACTTAACATCTGGAAATCTTTCATTTGAAGTGAAATAGTTTGGTAAATTAAGAAGAAAAGCAGCCTCTCTAATTAGTGATAAAACTCTCGGGTTTGGCACGGTGTATTTGAGTCTGAATTTGACCTAAATGCTTATTTAAAGTTTCACAGAATTTAAAAAAAGCAAAGAATCCAGTTTTGTCTAGGAAATTAAATAAAAAACTCGAAGTTTTACAGCGACGCTGAAAACCGTTTCAGGGACGAAGCGCTCGTGACATTAACGGTTCTTTGCAACTTAACCGTTGGTCCAAAAGCAGCTCGTTTAAATAAAAAACGAAGGGGCAAAATAGAACGGAAACTTTTTTTTAAATATCTAAATATGACAAAAACCTTACCCCAGAGAAGACACAGCCAAAAGTTGTCCCCCATGATGCTGCGCTCCGCTCGGACACAGCCCGCTTCCACCCCGTTAGTCCGCCGTGAGTCATCGCCACTGGCCGGGCAGGCTGCCCCGCGGAGGCCCCGCCCCCCCCCGCCTAAGCCCCGCCCCCCGCAGGCTCTATCAGCCGCTCACACATTTACCGGAATGTAGCGGTAAGCTAGCCGTTAGCCCACTTCCGGTTTCGCGGATTCATAAAAAATAAAACCGGAAACACGACGTTTTTATTCGAAAAAATAATTTACAGATAATATAATAATTTACAAATGATAATAAGAAATAGAAAAATAAAGTAAAATAAATAAATAACAATTTACTTATAGAGCTATTTATGAAGGTACAACCGGAGGTCAGAGGTTCAGAGGATCAGAGGTCAGAAAAACTCGAAAAAACCTTTTAAAATATATTTTTAAGATTTGCACAGTTTCAGCGCAGAATTTATTAAATCAACTGATATATTGTATTGTATTATAGCGACCACTACAGTGGACAGCTTTTTAAAAGGCTTTTTTTTTTTTTTTTAATGCGCACAGGCCTGTGAAGAAGACACTGGTGAATAAATTACTGTACAATTTAATAATAAATCAGTATGAAGTACGTCTTTGCCTAAAGTCTCTTTACTTTTACTTTCCTATAAGAATAAGTAAACTATCCTTGGCAACTATTAAAACAGAAACCAGCCAAAAATAGTCACTTAACTCAGTACAGTAAAAGACAGTTTGTGTAATTTTATACTTGTAGTGGTATGCAGTAAAGACAAAGAGTGTAAATCAGTTCAGCATATTCTTGTAACAGGCATGAAGTTTAATACAAACACGTGTCCACTGTACAGGTACAATCAGGTACCCATAAGGAGTCTCAACAGGTACATTTTAGAGCAGATGCGTCCATCTACACGTACATTTCATACACTATATAATATCAAACAAATATACACTGGTTTCAGCACTGGTGGGCGGTTTGAGGGATGGACAGGCGTGGGGGGGGGGGGGGTCTTTTGTTTCTGGATGGAGATTTAAAAGCAGAGACGAGCCGCTACGCGGCGGCTTTCTGACTGCGCTCGATGGCCATCCGCTCCAGCCGCTCGGTGTAGAATCCATTAAAGTCCAACCTGTGAGGTCAGAGGTAAAGTCAACATTCAGATGACTTCCAGAGGCATTTAGGTGCTACTAGAAAGCTGGGAAATCTGCATTCTAATCGAGTCGAGTGTAATTTCTCTTTTGTTCATTTGTCACATCAGTACAGGTTATTTATGGTGGAAATAAATTGGCTCAGTAGCTTTTAAAAACTTTTAAAGATTCCACAACGTTGGGATAAAAAATTAAATGTGTTCAGAAGCTGTATAAATGTCAATTATCTGTTTGATCAGGTGTTTAATTCACACAGCTGATGATAAAAAAGGCTTTTGCCAGTGACCAGGAACATTCTTTCTGGACCTAAAAAGCAACAATATTGTATGGATAAATAATCAGTTTACTTCTAAAACAGTTTATTTAGATTTGTCTGAATTTGATCCATACATATTTTTTGTATGTAAGGGAATAATTTTGATACTGGCATCCACTAAAACCAAGATATCCTGGCCTTTTATTAGCACCTAAATCGACGGTGTAGCAGAAACTCTGCTAGAACTTGAGATGTGAAAGGTTGCAAATCTTAAGGAGGCGTTTTGAACAGGGAGTGGTCATATCTGTGAGGTTAGAGGTAAAAGAAATCTGTGGAACATCTATTGTATGTGTTTGAGTCGACCAAAGTTACACATAGAGTGGTTTAAATACACATGGAGCTACGGAGCGCATTTTCTATCGGTATTCTCTGAGATGTAAATACTGTAAACGTACAAGTTTGTGTATTTAAAAAGGTAAAAGGACATTTTGGCCAACGATTGCCGGATTTTCTGTCAATCAAAGAACTAAAAAGGAAAAAAACTGACTTACTGTTCGTGTTTTTTGGTCATTTTCACATTAAAGTTTTGGTTGTTTCTGCACATATTTACATTAAAAAACATTTGTCCTGAATGATCTTCCTTCAAGTCAGTACAGTCAAACTAACCGTTTTCTTATTTATTTTCTAAACAAATCAATCTTTAATCTGCACTTGCTGAGATGCAGAGTTCCAGAAGGCTCTCCCTGTAGTGTCGGGACTCAATCCTACCTGTGGCCTTTATAGCTTTATAAAGCAAGAAATAAATTCCTTCCTGCACACATACAACAATTGTTTACAGATAGAGATGGAAAATATAATCTAATAGGAAAATTTAATTTCAAAACTAAGTGTGTTAGAACAACAAAAAGAACCTTCAGTTTATCAGTTAGTGGAGTGAAGCTCTGGAACAGCTTGCCTGAAAATATTAAACAATGTAATAGCATCCAGCAATTCAAAAAAACAATATAAGAAAAGTATTTTTGATGAATACAAAAAAGAATAATACATAAAAAGTTATACTGTTTGTCTTACTGTAATTGTCCTTTACCACCACGACTCATGTAACTGAGGGGTAGGGCTTAATAAGCTTATGCTCCTTTTTGAAACATGATGCATGTTTAGGAAGCATTCTATGTAAACATTGTGAATCATGTCATGGTTCAAAATAAGCGAAATGAAATGCAAAAAATTAAATGAGTCATTCTCACCTGTAGATGATGCTGATCATGCTGTGCTCGCAGTCGTTGGTGCTGTAGATGCTCAGCTTGTCCAGCAGGTCCAGCAGCAGCGTGCTGAAGTTGCTGTCGAACTTGCTGATGGTGGCTTCCAAGCTGGCGTCGGCCTGCTGCGCGTCCACGTGTTCGGCCGAAAACTGGAGGGAAGAAACAATCCCGCTCAGCGCGCTGCATTCAAGGACGCCGTGAAAAGCTGGAAGGTTTTTAGAGAAGCTGCTGAACAACCTTCTTTTCTTCAAACAGCAAAACTTTGTTTGGAAATTTTTGTGCAAGATTTTTATCAATAATTTTGGAGCTTATTCAACATTATATCTTCTTTAGGCCAGTACTTATATGTGCCTCAATATTTTTCAAAGAAGTAGGTTTTCATGTTTTGACAGAAGAAGAAGAGTTGGGCCTTTAGAGCTCCTTATAGCTGAATTAACTGTGTTTTTGTCCCGTTTGTCCTGTTTTTGTGTTTTATTTGCAACTGTGTTTGCACCCGTTTTATCAAATACTCGCTGTTTGTCAGGCAATTTACAAAGAAATGAGGGCTGCATTTAAACCCGTTTTTCTTTGAGATTATCTTCAGATAATATTCAGGTATATTATTAGATTCAGGCTGGTCCCGATCCTATATCTGTATTGGATGCCGATATTTGCGAAAAAATGCATATCAGCCGGCAGGAAAAATGCAGATCCAGACTCCAGATTTTTTTGGAGTCTGGAGTTTTTTTTTTTTTAAAGGTCCGATCCCACACGAGCATTAGCATTAGCATCTCCTAACCCACAGGTCTGTGTCCTAACCATTGAGTTGTTATCAGAGTAAATCCCTGTTCAACATGAGTCTGACAACTATGTAAGTAGATAAATAACTTTAAACTTTAACACATGCTCTGATAGGCCGGGATCGGGATCAGATCGGAAGTGAAAAAAGCTGGATGGGGACATCCCTAATTAGATCTCCCCCCCACTGTGAGCGGTACCTTTGCGGCCGGCCTCTTCTTCTCGGCCTCCTCCGGCTGCTCGCCCTGCGTGGGTTCCCGCTCCTGAGAGAGTCTCTCCAGCCTCAAGCTCTGCGTGAAGCGCTGCGACAAACACAGAGGAAAGGTCAGCGGCCCGTCGCCGTGGAAACGACTTCTAGATCAGACCAAATGTGGAGGAAAAGCCAAACCTGCATGCAGCTGGTGAACATGACGCAGACGGACATGAGCTTGGAGAAGATCCGCAGCAGCTCGGGGTTGGTCAGCATGCAGTCCTTCAGGCAGTTGTCCAGGAAGCTGGTGTGGTGGCACAAAACGTCGTCGATGTTGGACGCCTGCAGGAGAAGAAAGAGGACCCCGTTCAGCCGGGAAAAACCCAGGACGCCGGACGAATCCAAGTCGGCCATTTTGATTAGGTCACCAACAGGAAGATATCAGGCAAGAAGATCGTAATTGCTTCATGGCAATATAGACATTCATCTAAAAATAGTGAAATGAATCTTGCAAACACTGAATTAAACTCTATACGTAATATTATGGTAAAATAGTGGATGTTAAATAGGTTTGTACAATAAGTCCAAACAAGTTTAACCAAATAATATTTCTTACTCAAAATTTTGAACGGTGGAGGGTTAGGGTCAGGGTCAGGAAACAAGGGTCCCACACACTTGTCCGCTATTTTATTAGCACCTCCAGCTACCCAGGTAAGTACACTTTTTCTGCAGGTAAATATTTTTTTTTGCAGGTATCGAGGAGTCCCAGGTACTTAAAGTGTGGATAAAGGGTTTAAAAAGGATTCAGCTTACATCAATAAAACATCAATAAAACATCAATAAAACGCGTCCTTTTTGCCACAAAAATGAATAAAACACACTTAAAACCATGCAAAACATGCTAAAATTGCTGCCCATAGAGTTAGAGTCAGGGTCAGGGTCAGATTCATGTTTAGGTTTAAGGTTAGGGTTAGGGTTAGGATAAGGGTTGCGTTTGGGTTATGGTTAGGGTCAGGGTCAGGGTTATGGTTATGGTTATGGTTATGGTTATGGTTATGGTTATGGTTGGGGTTTGGGTTGGGGTTTGGGTCAGGGTTAGATTATCGTTTGTCTTCCGATTTCTGGTCCACGCACCGTTTTCAGGTTGTTCTCCATGACGTGCCAGGTGGGCTCCATCACCTCGAACATCATGTAGTACTGGATGTTCTGCACGAAGTTCAGCATCCGCTGCCGGAGGGCGAAGGCCGCCGCGAACCTGCACACAGGGCGCCGGTCAGAGCCGTTTCCCGGTCAGAGCCGTTACCCAGAGGCCCGTTACCCAGAGGCCCCGGGGGGCCACTCACCACTTGGCCGAGTGGAGGGAGTACTGCCGGAAGTCCTTGTTGCTGATCCACACGTTGCACAGCAGCCTCTCCACGTGTTTGCAGAAGAACATGTGCCTGAACAGCATCTGGTACCTCGTCAGCGCCTTCCTGGAGGATGAATTCACATAAGAAACTCCACCATAAACTATACTAACCTACGGAGCCCCTCTGATGACATGGTCAAAAAAAATTTGTAATTGTGGCCACGAAGTAGTATTTCGTGCGCACGAAATACTTATTAATAATATTAATATCATTCCTGGACAGCTGGGTAAGCAAATCGAGCGCGCCTTCTCTAAGGTCTAAGGTAGAGGCATTAGAGAGGCTAAAGCTCCACGATGGAAAGGGACAGTTTGATAGAATTTTATTTTAGGCTGGGAATGAGCAACAAAGACATTCTGAAAAGCCTGACATTACCGAGAGACATTTAAACAGGATATTGAGAGCCAGGTTGCTTTACCGGCGAAGGTACGACTTGGACGCCGGTATGGTTTCATTGTTGACCAACTGCAAGGCCCTGGGAATGATCACGGTTACCGGTGGATGTTTACAAAGTGTAAACAACACTACGGAGCCCCTCTGACGTTATACTTATTGCGCGGCCACGAAGTAGTATTTCGTGGCCACAATTAATTTTTTTTTTTTTTTTGACCATGTCATCAGAGAGGCTCCGTACTAAGCCTCTTTTGTTTGGAAAAACAAAACATAACAGCTACGCTGTGTTGCTTCCTTGCATATTTGTTTGTTTTGGCTGTACTTTATGCACCTTTTCCTCCTTTTGAACTCTAACCGATGCGTGACCAGTGAATTTCTCCACTGTGAGATCAATAAAGCTCTTATCTTATCTTATTCTCCCTCAGGAGAGTCAAATCTACAATAATCCGCATCTTAAAAAAAAGACCCCATTAGGTTTCACACTTCCCCAATCTGAGCTAAATGGATAAAAATCTACAGGCTTTGCTTTTAGAACTAATCTGCATAACAAAGTGGTCAAATATTCACACTTTTTTATGTTTTTGCTCCCTCTGCTCTTAGTTTCAGACCCAACAAACAAGAAAAATTATTTCTCTTTCTCACACATGAATTATGATCGTCTAAATTGATGATAAATATTCTGAAATGCAGTTAGTTTCTTTCATTCAATTGCTTTTTATTAAATTGAGGAACTAATCTGTAAATTAGTAGTTCAGTCTTACCCCCCCTCTCCCCTAATTGGATCCAAAGTGATTAGACTACTGGGACTAAAAATAAAAAAAAACACCCCCTTCATCATATTTATCTGGTTTCCATATTTTTTTTAGTTGTTTGAAAGTTTATTATCCAACTAAACACTCATTAAACCAGTGTTTATCAACCTTTTTTGAGCCAAGGTACATTTTTTCATTGAAAAAATCACGAGGCACACCACCAACCAAAAATGTTAAACAAATCTGTAGCCGCCTATAGTAACTCTATAGTTATTCTTATTTTATTCTTATCATATCTTAAGTGTCTTGAATAGGAATCAAATAAACAAAAATGTATTTTTATCATATCTTATATTTCTTCTTTCAAATTGCACTTAACATGTCCACTTCAATATATAAAATTATATACAAAATGTAGCCATAAGGAATTATTACATGATTACGCCACCAGTCACTAGAACAGCACAGACACTCAAAAATGGCATATTATTTGCAGATAATTAATTCCTTATAAAAAAATCTTTTTAGACCAATTAGGTGAAATAGGATGATTTTCTACGGCACACCTGACCATCACTCACAGCACACTAGTGTGCCGAGGCACAGTGGTTGAAAAACACTGCATTAAACAGCCTTAAGGTGGGACCCTCGTCGCTTCTTTTGTGCTTATGAACGTTCGATAACGCGAAGAAATCCAGGATGATTTCTGTGAAGCGCGTATCGAAGCTTGTGTCGATGACGTATGCGGTGACGTTTGAAGCCTCGCGAACCGGCCGTACCACGTGACTGATCCGGGAAGTGGTTCGCGGTTTGGCGGTCTATTTGAAAAATTAGGGCCCCCTCACATTTTGTGGACTTGGGACTTAATAACGAGTTTGTGAGCGATCTATTCAAGCTTCCCTGTCATTGTATCATAAAGACAGACATCATCTAAAAGTTTATAATTCATGTATAAGCATCACAAACATCCATCCGTCCATTGTGCTAACCGCCGATCCCCTAATGGAGTGGGGTGGGGGGGGCGGGGGGGGACTGGAGCCAATGGGGAGGGGCGGGGTCCACCTGGATGGCAGCATCACTAACATCATTGATTAATTCACACAATGCTTCAGACACCAAAGCCAGAGTCTCGTTATAACCACGCTGTACTGTTTACATTTATTGTCCACTAGAGGGCACTATAGAGCAAACGAAGCACCATGAAGCCTAAACACACGAGTGAACAAATTGGATGGAACGCTTCAAAGCTTTATGAAGCTTCATCTCGCCATCACTACCTATAACCTCCTCTTTCCGAACAAACTAAGCCGAACCAGATCGAACCTGTTGATGATGAGCGAGAGCGGCCACTTGACGATGTAGTCGAAGGAGAAGGCCTCCAGGCCGCTGAGGGCGGATTCGGCGGGGTCGGCGTTGATGATGGACTTCTCCTGCTTGGTCTCGATGGCCAGGACCCGCAGCAGCTGGGTGATGACGTCATGAGGCATTAGGTCGATCTGCAGACGGAAGAGAGAGAAGCTCAGCCCCGTCCGGATTGGAGGAGACCTCTGGCTAAAGTCTGTAGGAGCCTCGAATGGATGTCCAGCTCCTCCCACATCCAAGTTGGTCATTTTTATGAGGTTTATGTGACTAGAAGCTTTCTGAGGTGGAAACGAAACTTTACTGTCTATATGAAATCGGAAGATAAACGATGTCCTAACCCTAACCCTGACCCTAACCCTAAACATTACCCTGACCCTAACCCTGACCATAACCCTAAACCTAACCCTGACCCTAACCATAACCCTAAAACTAACCCTAAACCTGACCCTGATCCTAACCCTGACCCAACCCTGACCCTAACCCTGACCCTAACCCTAACCCTAACCCTAAACCTGACCCTAACCCTGACCCTCCACCCTTCAAAATTGTGAGAAATAAATATTTTTTAGTTAAACTTGTTTGGACTTATTGTACAGACCTATTTAACGTCCACTATTTCAACATAATATTATGTATGGATTTGAATTCAGTGTTTGCATTTCACTATTTTTAAATTAATGTCTATATTGCCATGAAGCAATTACGATTTTCTTGCCTGGGATCTTCCTATTGGTGTGTAATCAAAATGGCCGACTTGGATGTGGGCAGAGTTGGATATCCATCCTTGGCGTCCTACAGTGTTGCTGAATTGGGCGGCTTAGACATGAAATAGTGTGCACAACAAACTTCAGCCGGTTCACTAATTAACTCTGCATTTAAGGGACTCGGAGGGAGACAATGCAAGTATTTAGTCATAGTTTTTATTTAGCTTTATACTTCTACTTTAACCTGAGTTTTTCACGACGGCTGAAGGTCAGAAAGGTCTAGGCTGGTCCCGATCCGATATCTGGATCAGATCGGCCGCCGATATTTGCAAAAAAATGCGTATCGGCCGGCAGGAGAAAATGCAGATCCAGACTCCAGATCCATTTTTCTTCGATCCCACACTAGCATTAGCATTAGCATCTGCTAACCCACAGGTCTGTGTCCTAACCATTAAGTTGTTATCAGAGTAAATCCCTGTTCAACATGAGTCTGACAGCTAAGTAAGTAGATAAATAACTTTAAACTTTAACACATGGTCTGATAGGCCGGGATCGGATTGGAAATGCAAAAAGCTGAATCGGGACATCCCTAGAAAGGTGAATGGTGCTGCTTTCCCCCACCTTTAGGTCGTCCTTGAAGGGGTCTGTGTTGGCCGTGCTCATCCTCAGAGCCAGCTCCAGCAGAGCCTCCAGTCGGGGGGGAACGATGTCGTCCACCGGCTTCTTCAGCTCCTCCTCCGTCAGGTCCATGAAGTGCACGAAGAAATCTCCTTTGTCCATCAGGAAGTAGTGCTTGATGGACCTGAGGCAAAACAGAAGCCTTTGTCACTCTTAACTTTTTTTTTATATATATATATATATATATATATATATATATATATATATATATATATATATATATATATATATAAAACAAAAACACATTAAAATACAGCATATAAAGCAAAAGCAGTTTATGTCAATTCTAATGAACAAAGTTTCCTCTCTGATCTGAGCTCCTTCCTCCTCCATCTTTGAGCTCTTTTTTCCTCCATCTCTGAGCTCCTTCCTCATCCATCTCTAAGCCTCCATCACCAACTCTTCTTCTTCTTCTTCTGGTCCATTTTCCTCAGATGTTTTCAGGACTCTGCTCACCAGCTGAGAATTGCCCAGTTTCCAGCCAGCAGCTCTTTGGGAATCCTCAGAAATCCTGTTTCCTGTCTGTCAGACTATATTTTCTTTGGCCTTTTTCCTCCATCAGCTACAGAAATTGAACAAATTCTGTCTTTCTGTGACAGCTGCTGCTAACAAAGATCCTAAAGATCCACTTTAAACTGCTGCTTTTTGTTCTGTGTGGACACAACGCTGGCTCATCCCTTGAGTCAGGGACCTTTTTTTTCCCTGCCTGAAAGATTTAAAGACAAACTGTTCACCTCAGACGTGAGACCAGCTCCTTCTCCTCCATGAGGAAGTCCAGCAGGACCTTGCTGGCGTAGTTGTAGGCCTTCTCTATCTGCTCCACGTAGGCCCTCTCCTTCAGGGTGTACAGCACCTCCTTTGCGTCCGGACACGTCACATCGCGCCCGCACTCCCGCACCACGTTCAGGTATTTCCCTGCAGAGCGACACCGTTAACTCATTGGCTGCCAAAGACATCTATAGACGTCAATTCAAATCCAACCGTTGACTGCCAAAGACGTCTATAGACGTCTTTTATGTTTTTCAACGAAAGTGGCTGGGGGACGATCTGCTAAAGCTTGTCCGTAAACATCAGGCTTCTAGACAGAGTATGTAGTAACAAATTGACCCTCTAGGGGGCAGTGCCACTTTTGATGGGAGATGAGCATAGACTGTAGGCAAATATGAAAAAGGTAACGGTTCTATGAGAGAACATGTCGCCGGTGAGACGCAAGTCCAGGAAGAACGGAATAAGGTAGAAACAATTTTTTTTTCCTGATGAAAGAAGAGAGTCTACTCTTTCTTTTGGTGTGTTCGGTGTTTACATAGTCATAGCACAAACTATTCTGTGGCTCTGGAAAAATCAGTCAAAATGCTCAAAAAACTCTGGCAGTATGGGACTCTGTTCTGAAAATGGCTGGCAGTCAATGAGTTAAACACGACGCCTTCGGCCCCTTTTTTAAATTTTTTTTTTTTACCTGTGCTTAAGATTTTGTCGGCCATCTTCTGCAGAAACGAGGGGATCCGGTGCTGGACGATGGTGTATCTCTGGTCCCAGTACTTGTCGTTGTAGTCCTCCTGAATCTTCTCCTTCTGGAGCTCGTGCTCCTCCACCATGAACTCGCTGAGCAGGCCAAACAAACAAACAGAGGAGAGCTTTATGGAAGCTGTTCAAACCGTTAGGCTTAGGCCGATTCAGACTCCAGATCCAGTCTGATCCCACATGAGCATTAGCATTAGCATCTCCTAACCCACAGGTCTGTGTCCTAACCATTAAAGGGGAGATATTATGCAAAGCCAAGTTTTTAATCATGTGATTATGTACATTTGGGACTGTGGAGGGCCTATCAGCAGGCAAAGTGTGAAAAAAAATGACTCAGTCTGAATCCAGGAGATAAATCAGGAGGTTTCAGGAGTGGGTAGTTTCTGACGTCATTAGCTCTAGCTCATTATAATATTCCAGCCTTTCACCTGCATGTTGCCCCCCCCCTCAGCTTACTCCCCTATCTGTGGAGACGTCGTGGTAGCGTGAGCGTTAGCATGGTAGCGTTAGCATGGGAGTGTCAGCATGGTAGCGTTAGCATGGTAGCGTTAGCATGGTAGCGTTAGCATGGTAGCGTTAGCGTGCCGACGTGGGCACACCTCCCTGAAGAAGTGAGTGGATTTCCTGTGTCTCATTTGCATTTAAAGAGACAGGCACTCCAAAGCGAGCGCTCTGAACGGGGCTGTTTTGGCAGGGTTAGGGTTAGGGTTAGGCAGGGGGACTGAACTGCTATTGGGCTTCATCCTTATGGGATTTTGACCAAAGCTTGTCACAGACATTATATCAGGACACCAGGGAACTAGCTTAACTTGTTGAAATACGGTATAATATGTCCCCTTTAAACTCCGATCCCACACGAGCATTAGCATTAGCATCTGTAACCCACGGGTCTGTGTCCTAACCATTAAGTTATTATCAGAATAAATCCCTGTTCAACATGAGTCTGACAACAAAGTAAGTAGATAAATAACTTTAAACTTTAACACACGCTCTGGCCGGGATCGTATCGGAAGTGAAAAAAGCTGGATCAGGACATATTTAGAAACCGTCGTGGTCCTGGGAGGGAAAGCCAGCTCGGCTCTACCTGTAGGGGTCGTTGATGATGCCTCTGTAGATCCACTTCTCCAGAATCTCAAAGTATGGGACGCTGGCCGCCTTGGTGAGGTAGAGGCACAGCTCCTGAGCCTGGCTGTCCCCCGTGAAGTTGAAGGTTCGGTCATGGAGCAGACTGAGCGTGGACCCGCCCATGCACTCGCCTTTCTCCACCGAGGATGCTGCAAAAACAAGTTATCCCAGTTATGGCCACATCGGGAATCCACTTTCTTCCAGAAACACCCACTTTTGTTTGCTTTCTCCCAGGATAAGTTTATTCAATTAAAACTGCTGAACCCAATTTTCTGGGGAAAAAACTGGTCAAAGACAAAGAAAGTTTAGTAAAAATTAAAGGACAAGCTGTTGAGTTTGACCTGCTTATTCTTAAATGGATGACTAAAGAAGAGCAGACTTTAATGTGATGAATAACATTTTGAAAATTAGAAATACAAGCATGAGTGGGCCAACATGCCACGTTTGAAAGATTTCTATAAACCCTTATGAGGTCCTTTATTGTCCTTGAATTAAGTCATTATCCCAAAAGCTGCTGTAACAATATGACAAACCAAACTGTTTTCCACTTAAAATGAAATATACAAATCAAATAGGGATTTTATTTTTGGATTTAATGCTTATATTGTACCCTGAGATGGATCAATAATCAGCAGCAGCTCTGATTTTCCTGCATTTTTACATTAGAAAACAGTTAAAAGTTTAACTTTGATGCATGATTTGGTTGAAAAAAAATATTTAATCAAATAAAATGGGGGAGGGAGGTAATCACCATCTCGTGGACAAATGTACAAATTAAAAGCTAGTCATTCAAAATTGGATCTTAACATGAAGGAGGTAAGAGTAAATGAGGAATTAAAAATGGCCACTTCTCAAACCCGACTGAGCGTTCCCTCAGATAAGGAGACCAATATGAGCTGAAACTCTTTAGAAATGCCTCCGCTCTCGTGCTCAGCCTCCTACCCAGAGACGCCAGGATCTCCATGGTTCTCATGGTGGGCTGGATGTAGAACCAGAGCTTCTGCAGGGACAGCAGGCCCTGCCTCTGGAGGTGCTCCAGCTGCGTGACCAGGATCAGATACTCCTTCATCAGGGTCCTCATGGCCGCCGTCAGGGCGTGGTTCACCTGGCCGTACTCGAAGGAGGACTTCTCCTCAATAAAGCTGGAAGACAGATAAAAAAAAGATCTAATTATTCATTCATTCAAGTCCTGTTGGGAACCAAAAAAACAGCAAGTTACTAACATTTCAGACAGAAAAAAACATTAATTCATCTGTTAAAATGATGATTAATTGAGCAGAAATTAAAGATGAGGAGCATAAATCTGTATTTCTGAGCTCTGGTTATAGAGTTTAACACTGTTATACCAAACGTATCATATTTGATACATACGGTTTCTGAAATGTTTTGCCTCTGACACCTTTTGCTTAATTTAATGGTAAAAACTGCTCAAAATCCTATTGTACACAATCAGATACACCTGATAACAGAGGGCAGAAGACTACACAAAAAATAATCTTGACTTATCGCATAGTAATAAATTATTAATATCAAAAAAGTATTTCTGTTTTTTCTTTTTACATATTTTGTTAAAAGGCCAAATAAGGAATTCAAACAAAAAAAACGCTACCACAACCAATGTATAAATATACATATTTTTAACGATAAAAAAACATTTTTTTTAATGCTAAATTGTACCTCCGCCTCATTACCGGAACCGTTTCACAGTTACGGTTGACACCACACCACCGCAACCGATATGTATCTATAGTTTTTAACGATAAAAAAAACATTTTTTCTATGCTAAATTGTACCTAAGGAGTAAGAATTCAGGTGCGAATTCTCTTCTCTCTGCATGTGCTTCCCTCCCCTGTTACGTTAGCATTTCCAATGTATATGTATATATGTATATATAGATGTATATATCTAGCTATATTTATGAGGAAATTTGTATATATATATGTATATATGTATAGACATGTACATATGTATATGCCTTTGTTTTATTTTGCTTATGGAGCCTGTAACAAAAATAATTTCCCTCTGGGATTATTAAAGTATTTCTGATTCTGATTCTGATTCTGATTCTGATGTCTGTCCCTGATGTGGGCGGGGCTTGATGTCAAGGATGCAGCGAGATGCTTCTCCCTTTTTCGGCCAATCCGAGGTCCCTCTCACCGGGTTATAGTGGAGTAGTACGACGCCACGGGCAATATCCTGTTCACCAGCTCTTTGATGGACATGTCCAAGGTGGCGTCCACTATAAAAGAGCGGTTCTGCCTCCCCAGGACGGGCTGAGCCGTGATGTCCCGGCCATCCACCCCGATCAGGACGAAGAGCAGGTCCTCCACCAGAGCCTGCTCCTGAGTGGCCAGGGGCAGGGTCCCTGAGCACAGAGATGAGGAATGAGGAGGAGGAGGAGGAATGAGGAGGAGGAAGAGGAGGAAGTGGAGGAAGAGACTGTTAATTTCTCGTTATTTTTCCTGTATTTTTTATGTAATTTTCTGGTTGTTTTTCCTGCATTTTCTGTTTGTTTTCCTGTAATTTCTGGTTGTTTGTCCTGTATTTTTTATGTCAT